AATGGGGAAATACCAACAAATGTTCTCTGTGTTAAATAAACATGGCATAGAGAAGAGACCTAAAATTGTCAGTGAACTATAAATGCAAAGTTCCATTAATATTTGTCATTATAAATATTTATAAAGTAATTTTTTCAAAGAATGTCTTTTTTTGGAAGTATGTTCCTATTTTGGCAAATAGCTCAATATGCAGCCTTCTGTATAATTTAAATTTCTTTTTTTGTCCATCTCTTTTAAATATTAAAACAAGCATTTAAATTAGATACAGTGAGTTTAATTTCAGCATGAAAACTTCCAAGAACTTCAGTCAAAAACTTATAAAGTACATAATATTGAAGCACACTTTTCTAAAGGCATTGAGGGTGCCATATTATCAAACAGCTAAAAAATGAGCTATTCAAATAAAAAAAAATAATTGCCAGAAATACTGAATTTAAAACTCTCATTTACCCAGAGTCCTGACAAGTCATGAAATATTACTGTAAGGGAAGCAATTCAGGTGATTTGGGCAAAAAAGTTTCTCTATACATTTACATTAACTGGACACATTGTGGGGTTTTCTGTTCTATTTCTTAATTGTCACAGATTCACAGTTCTGCTTGCTGAGAAGATTGCAAATCCAGATGTCCAGGCTTCTGTCATTTGCTAGATACTAAAAGCACTTGTTTCCAAGTATGAAGAAATAATTTCTAGGTGACACATTGAGATTTTAAAATGCAGCCAATCAGAAATAAGTGGATGGAAGTTATTAAAATCTGGTAGTTTGAAGAAAAGACTGTAGTCATAATAAATTATCTGAGTTTAGAAGAATTTCCACATAAAAAGTAAATTTACATAGAATAAATTGTGTGTTAGTAAGGGGATATGTGGAGTGCCTATAATTAGTATAATTTTTTTTTTAATATTGTACCACAAAATGTAAATTGGGAGGTTTGACTGCAAAATGGCATTTCTAATCACCACTGGGTAGAAAAATTAAACTCTGCTAATCATTCTTGTAGGTCTGATACTATCTAGTTGGTGATGATACTTCTCGTACACATAAGCCAGTGCTTCTGAGAATTATGTACTTATATGGAAGTTTAAGTTTGACATTTTCCAGGCTGGGGTTTGGAGCATGGAAAGAAGATTGTGTTATTTTGTAGAAAGTAAGATGAACAACACTGGTACTGGTGTATACAAAATGCAGCATGAGCTGATAAGAAACAGGGATGGAAGTAGCTTGTCTGAATGCAAGCCAAAAAATGGGGGATGACATTACAGCTGGTACTTCAGCCAAGTGAAGAAAGTGAGGTATATATTCAAAAAGTTGCAGGTGGTGTTTACAAGCTTTAGTTGCCTGATTAATGGGATCTACAATCTACAAATTTTATCTTAGGCTTAACAGAAACCTTGTTGACAGAGCTAGTAATGTTGTGCAGCTTTAGTGTCAGTTTCGTCTTTTTTTCTTTTTCTTTCTCTATTTTTTTTTATTCAGAAAGCAATGCAATGAAAGGAAAAATATCAGGGAAAATAAAAATGTTTTCAGTATCAAGAAGAATTCTGATAATTGAGAAGAAGGGCATAAAGATAGTATATATTCCAACAAACAACCTTCAGAGTGATTTTCATGTAAATGAAGGGAAGAGAAAGCAGAAGACAGCAGAGTAGCAGAAGGGCTAAAAAGGTGTCATGACAGCCTGGTAGAAAAGCCTGGTAGGGCACATGAGGTGTCATGACAGCCTGGTAGAAAAGCTGGAGAGCACCTGGCAACCAATAATGCACATAGAAGAAGGGAAAAAAGAGTGTGTTATCTTGGAGGAAAAAAAGAAAGGAAAGAGAATAAGTTAAAAAATCCTACCCAGAGTTTGGCATTATATTTGTTTATTTTGCATAATGTTCAGTACAATAACACAGATAGTTGCAAAAACATGTTTTCATTGCATTCTGACTGATTTTCTAAAGGAAAACAAATTACTCCCTTTCTCCCTCCCATGATTATATTCTAAAATGGCTGGAAATATGCTTAAGTCCATGTGAATAATAATAAGAAAAAAAGCAGATGCAATTCAACCCTAAATCATCTTCAGATTCTCTCATTCCTTCTTTTACTATTTACACATGTGGCTTCGTACCCATAATCTTTCCAGTTTCTGATCATCAACAGGCAATGCAAGTGGCAAATATACTGAACTGGATTTACTCTTTTAAGCACTGTTCAGAAGCTTTATAGACAGCAGTATCAGTCTTTTCTGCAATCATTATTATGCAAAATTATTCAGCATCTCTGGAATAATTAATATAGGTCAGTGGGAAACAGGCATGCCACTCTTTCCCCTTGCCTCTCTTTTTCTTTATCTCATTTTTCTCCCCTTCTGTAATTTAATTTTGGGATGAATTAAAACCAGCTGTAACAAAATCTTGCAAATGATAGTGCCTATAAAACATGTTCATTGCCAGACTCCAAAACTATTCTTCCAATACTCCAATTTCACATTTCAAATAATTCGCTTTTAGTATATATGACTACCCATACTTTCCTGCAAGAGAATGGTCATTAAAAAAACACATCAGTTCATAGAAAGGCAGCTTGCGAAAAACAAAACCACTGGCTAATTTATGAACATCATTCCTCAAGCTATGCACAAGATAATGGTAATGAAAGCTAGGAATGGGGGGATTCATGCTCTTTTACCTTCAAAGACTGTCATGTAACAGATGAAAACATAGGTCTCGTGGGCCTGGAATTTCCACTCTCTAAATTTGCAGTGTCTTTTTGGATGAAATCTTGAAAGGCAAAATCTGAGTTAACAAAATACACACAATATTGTGGACCTTTTCTAATGCAGAATTTCGCAACAAGCTATGAGCTTAATGAACTGTTTTCAAGATCCAATTTGCGTGTATGCAGACAAAATTTGTGAAGGCAGATCCAATTTGTGTGTATGTGGAGACAAAAAAGTAGACTTCATTAATGGCAAAGTACATGATTTAATTTTTTGCTTTACTACTCTGAAAGAGACAAAGCGTATTTCGGAGTTACAGCTGCACAATTCAGTAATAGAAGAGATATTAGAGATGCAAGTCTAGGGTTCCTAAATGGCTTTAAATTTACACTGCACAAGCCATTCTTTACAGTCTCCCCAAAAATGGTTTGGAATCACAGAAGCAGTCCTGGGTCTTCATATTTCAGAGGAAAAACTGCCACTGATTTCAGCATAGCAAAGCTGAAAGCTTGAAGCCTTCATTTTGGATTATTTGGTATGAAATAATTGAGTTCTGCAGCTGTTTGCCTCACTGCTATAGCCAGTATTGCCAAATAAAAGATATGTAAAGGAATTGCCTGACAAAACTATGCAAGGTTTTATTTTGAAGGAAAACTGTTCAGGTGCACATTTGCAAAGCAGAACCTAAGCTAAAAATAACATCTAAAAAATAACATCTAAAGAAATATTCCTTATCCTGAAAACTCATTGATTCTAAAATAAGGGTTGCAACTCAACTAAAGCCCCAGCCTTTCATCAGAGTGATCCAGGAACCTAATGGCAGGAGAGCAGGATGTACTTTGTCTCACTGGTCTTAACATACACAAGAGTAGATCAGACACAGAAATATGCAATGCCTAGCCAAAACAAAAAACAAAACAAATAGGTTTAGTTGTAGTCCAATTGGCCTGTAATTTGCCTTTATTTGCCTTTAACAGTATCTCTTTGGGTGTTGTTTTTTTTTGTTTGTTTGTTTGTTTGGTTTTTTTTTGCGTGTGTGTCATAGAGCAGAGCTATGGCGTGCAACTTGACTAGCACAAATCAAACTTCCCATTCCTTACACAGATGTGGTGTAGCCTAAACTCCTCAGATGAAAATTGGACTGCTAATCTGCCATCAAATCTATTTATTAACTACACCAATTGCTATCAGCAAGGGAAGCTGAAGGCTAGACTGATTAGACATTTCAGGAACTCAAATAATACAATCAGAAAAAATTTCAGAGGAATCAAACAATTATAGAATATTCTGAATTGGAAGGGGCTCACAGGCATTATCAAAGCCCAACTCCTAAAGAACTGAGAGAAATCTTCCTGCATAGGAGACTACAACTCAGACAGAAGCAGTTTCTTTCATTATGAACTGTGGTCTGTTGAAGAAAAGATAAGCTAAATATGAGCAAATATATTCCTTTTTTAAAGTTAAACTTTTAAACTTTCCAAACAAAGCTTGTATTGAAAGGCTTCTGAATATGCCCCTATCAGGCATGAGAAAGCTTGGCCCGGTGTACGTTTGATTTCATTTTCCATCTTTACTGGTAAAACTGACATTTCTCCATGTAACTTGAGAGCCTTTACTATTCTTGGCACCCAATAAAACTTTCCATATGAAAGCCTCTATTTCAATTTTCAACAGTGAAAACATACTTTCACTTTGTTGAGACAGAAGTTGAAGTTTCTTACTTTATTGTATTGAAAACTATGTTTGCCACATATTAAAAAAAACCAGCAAGACCCTTTGGAAATGCCAAAACACTGATACAGGCTATGTAAAATTGCTTTTCTAAGACACACAACAGAATTAAAATGCTGTGAGGGCACAAGTGAACAGAAATACACAGAATCATAGAATCACATATCTTCTACTACCTTGTCTCAAATTCTCAACAGTTTAATCCTCCAGCCTGACAGACTACCCAACATGAACCAGCTGGTTATCGAAGCACTAGTGGTAACACAAGATGCCTTGATTCTGCAAGAGAGGCTGTAAAGAGCAACTCTGAAGTTTCATTGACTCTTTATTTATAGTGGCTGTGAATGCAATCCCTTCCAGACAGTTTTAGCATCAGGCTACACAGTAATCTCTCCACATTTCAAGAAACTGGCAAGGTTTGCCTATGGTTCTGGGTTCTGTGATATGACAATAGTTTAGATAGCTACAAGATTCTCACTATCACTTCACCAAATTATTTGCAGTAATATGGACGTGAAATCATATGAGATGATTTGTATCACATCAAAGCTATACTTCACTTACCACATTGCTGCATGTCCTGTACCGGATGTTTCGCCCTTCACAGGTCCTGTGTCCAAAAATTAAAAACAAACCCAAAACCATTAATAGCTGAATATAAAAAGCCAACACATAATGTTTACTGTGTCATTAACTTCTCTATATGTATTTTTAATCACCTACACCCCTATCAACCCTTTTCCCCAAAGTAAAAGGTTATCTGTCCCTATTGAGGTATGAAGTCTACAACTCCTTAGTTTCCTACCTTTGGTTTAAAAATTACTTTCTAGGTAGCATCAGCTTGCATGAGATTAGAAGTGAGAATACAGACTTTAGCTGAAAAACAACATCTGAATGACATGAATAATATCTTGTGTCTCCATGCAATTCCTGATGATTTCACAATGGCATAGCTCTGTGTCTACCTTGTCACACACTGCAGCACTGGCCCAGTCTGAGCAGGCAGGCTTTGTCTTCTGGGGAACAGCTGGGCACTGGGATGAAGGAACTATGCCTGCAGCAGCATGAACTCAAAGTATAGTTTAGTTTCGAAGGGGCCATCTACTTCCAATCCCACTGCCATTGACAGGGACACCTTTCACTAGAACAGATTGCTCAGAGCTTCATTCAACCTGGCCTTGAGCACTTTCGGGGATGGAGGGATGGGACACCCAAAGCTTCTCCCGACAACTTGTTTCAATGCCTGACCACTCTCACATAAAACAAAAAAAAACAACAAAACCAAAACAAAAAAAAAAAACACACCAAAAAAAACCCAAACAAACAAACAAAAAAAAAAAAACACACAAAACAAAAAATTAATTTAAACCTACTGTCATTCAGTTTAGATTTCCCTTCTTTCAGGCTAGTGTGACATAGCTTTTTCCCAATTTGATATAAGGGAAGAAGGAGAGCATAAAGCTTCTTCTCAATTCATTCAAAGAGCAGCTGGGCCCAGTGAGGTCAAGGAGAGCACTATTTGATATGAGGGAAGAAGGAGAGCATAAAGCTTCTCCTCAGAGCAGCTGGGCCCAGTGAGGTCAAGGAGAGCACATAGCCTGATGTGAGCTCTCCATGGCTTTCCTCCTTTTGTCCCACAACAGACCCATACCAGCCCTGATGCTGGCAGAGCTCCCAAAAGAAAGGTCAACAGTCAGATACCTTTTTAGCACTCAGCAGCATGTACTCTGAGCATTTGACCTTAGGTGAAGCTTCACGTATTTTATGAGTTCAGACAGTACACTCTGCCGAGGCCCTCATGCAAATCACAATGCAGTTTGGCTTTTAAAATGTATCCTTCAAAAGAATAGAATTCCTAACATTTTTAATTTCTTAATTTCACAACTTTCCTCTCTCTCCCGCTTTCTTTTTTTTGGCCATGACTTAATAAGCATAAATTCCTTCAGGAATAAATGCTTGCCAAGCCTGATTTTTAAAATCCAAACCATTTTAAACTATCCAAGGGAAAGGACAGCAGCATCTGAACTCATTTTTCTTCACTTTTTTTAAAAATTATTTTTAAAGCAGAGATATTTTTCCCACACTGAGTTAATTCTAAAATAAATGGAACAAGCTTTGTTTAAGTTACTGAAGTCATCCTTTCTGCCTTCATTATCCACAAGACTTAATTGTGAAATTCATCCAGTAATCATTTGCATACCACAGTTGTCTAAATGATCACAACACGAGACAAACAATAAACCTCATTGGATTTTCAGAATAAATCTAAGTGGAAAGATAACACTTTCTGTTATATAGCACTTGGCTTATAGAAATTATATTAAAAGCATAACAAAATATCACTTATCACTAATTCAGTGATTTTGTAGCATTATATATTTAACTCAAAAGAATTCCGATCTCAACCATGCACAGAAGTGAAAAATGTGCACAGTGTACCTAACAGTAGAAAAAAATTGGTTTTGGCAGTACAATAACAAAAACTATATTCATAATAGACTGTGAAATAAAAAACTCAACTAGAAGACCCAATAACAACAACAAAACACCTAAGCAACACCCCGTCCCACACACACTATTCCGTCATTCCTAAGCAATATAGGCAAGCCTGGAAAAATACTGTGGAAACCTGTTTATATTGCATTCAACAAAGGTACTTTGCTAATGATAGATAGTAAATAAATAAATAAATAAATAATGCAAAATGTAGGCAGCCCTAGTGCAGGCCTCATTTACCACACTGAACAGCTTGTTCATCAGGCTTGGTACCTGCCCCATGTGTCTCTCAGAACTGTCACACAAACCATCAAACATTACTTTGCTTCACACAGACTTGCTATTAGCACAATTTAAATTACTGTAACTGATTAATCTTAGAACCACTGAACTTTCAGGAAAACTTTGGCTTCCTTTCTATCAGTTGCCTCTCAGTTTTTTCTGCTTTTCATGGTTTCTTCATATTTTCTGTTTTGAAATAAAAAAAAACCAAAACACTTACTTTTCACTTATTTTCTGCATTAGGGAAAATAATAGGTTGTCTCATTAGATACATGAAAAAACAACTATTCCATTCTTTTCTTCCATTTTTCTTCTTCTGGCTATTGGCCAAGAATATTCAGATAAAATGAGCATAGTGCTCTTATGATTCATGAAGACTAGGAAACACACTTGGAAATTCCCCTTGTTTCCTCAGTAAGACCATACTTTAGAGTTTGGTTGTTTAAACTCATTAGTTTCCAGGTTATCACCTATCAGCCAAAAGCAGGTAACAGCTTTCAGCCTTACATTACATATTTTCAATAGATTTGCTTAGTAGTTTGTGTCTCAGCCCTACCTCAGGACGGTATTTCAGATTCTCTTAAACACAAACAGCTTTTTTGGAATTCAAACATGAGATTTGCACATTTATCTCAGGACAGACACTTTGCAGAATTCCACAGCACTGAGCCCTTAGCATGCAAGGAGGGATCATGGCAGACTACTGAACCCATGTTTGGAGATACAGTCATCATTTAGCCTGTGATCACTTCAGGATATAAATGGCAACTCCTACCAACAAGGAGTACACACAGCCAGCAGGAAAACAGAAGTCAACCAATACGCCAAGTTCATCATGAAGAGCACAGAAAAACTGGGAGAAGTAAGCAGTACTTCTAGCCATCTCTGTTATCTACACTGCAGGGGATTTTTCAGTGGAAAAAGGTAGCTGAGGGTTTGGCTTGACAGGGAATTATTATCATGTGAATATGAAAGAAAAGCAAGCTGTTGGGAATCATGTTTCGTTCCTTAAACTTAGCCACTTGTTTCCAGTAAAGTTTCTGAAAGAGGTTAACAACTTTTAATATATTAAAATATTCTCTTCTCTTAATGTAAACAACCCAAACCCCTGGTATTTATTTCTCCAGGCTCCAGTTTGTAGACAGACTTAGTTCAAGTCCCCCCCTCAAAGGCCTCAAGTAGATGTGTATTTGTGCTCAGCTAGAGTTAGAAGCCTTGCAAAAATCCATGCCAGAATGAACAGCAACCCCCTGCCAAAGCTGCCTTTATCACTAATTACCAAAGACTACGAAGAGATTTTCAGAGGAGGACCTCATCAACACCTGCCACCCTCGGCAGTCATCAGAGTTTGAATTACTTTAGTTGAGAAACAAGCCTGCACATAAACAAGCAACTATGAGACATGGGTGGGTTATTTTTGTGCATATGAATTTTGATGCAGCCATTCACTACAGGGTTTGGAATTTTATACAATGTTGAATAATCTCCACTATTTATTCTCACACCCCTTGATAGCCACTCTTCTGGGACAGATTCTGGTTTCTCCATTGTAGTTGTGAGATAAATATGCTGTGGGTCTGTCTTTTCCCATGAGATCTTCGTCTGGCTGTGGCATGAATCCAGGCTACACACATGGGGATAACACCATCTTGCATCTCCCTTTCTTCACTGTTGCTCTCAGCTCTTTCCCGAATTGGTACAGTCTTATGACCCCCTGTCATCCTCCACACAATTTCTGTGTTTGTGTTTCTCTGAGGAATAGTTAGTCTCTTTTACTCTTCCAGCATACCCCTTTTGAGCACAAAATTGTTATGAGCAAGAAAGACTCATCAGGACTGCATTGACTTTAAGGAGTTTGCTTTTCAAAACTATTTGGTTGGGTCTGCTAAACTCATGTCTAAATCACTCAATTGACAATAATTTGTAAAGAATTTAAAAGATTTTTCCATACACTTTTTTTTTCACATGATGCCTTAAGTTTTAGCTTTCATATTTTCCAGATTCTTTATTGCATTAGTATATAACTCTGAACTTCATATAAAGTGTAAGCAAGTTCTCCTCACAGTTTAGTCAGACAAAATGATCCATTCTCAGCCTGAGAACCAAGGACCTTGTTACAGCCTCTGGCCCAAAAAGTGTCAACAACAGCAAATTGATGAGAGCAGTCTGGTAGATGGGACTTCATAACCTGAAGCTGTAATTGGACAACTAACCCAAATATGCAAATGGACCAAAACTTATAAAAGTGTGAAAACTCGTGACCAGTTGTCCATCTTGGGTGTAGTCACGGCTGGGCTCTTGTAAGGCCCAAGGTGTATCCAAGGCTTTTTAATAAATACCTACTTTATTCCTCTAACACTGTCTAGCCTCTGTCCTAGGCAGCTTCTAAAGGCATCACACAAGAACCTTCCTGCCACTGTGGGTTGTTGGGATGCACTGGTATGTTTTGCTATGCATCTGTAGAAATGTTTCATTCTCTATGTTTAGAAAACTGTCTCCTGCATGTTGAAATTGAAATACCAGAAGAGTTACATAAATAGTTAACTTTGAGACAAGAAAAGTGGGCATGGATGAACAAGCCAAATTTCTCTAGCAGGTTTAGTTACTGATCATATAAATATTCTTACTTCTGCAATCAAAAAGACAAACAACCAGGAAAATACCAACTTCAGTCACTACACGCAGAAAACCAGCAAGGCAAATTAAAACATGTGTACTGATCTGGGGCCACTAAAGGCCAACTTTTTTAATAAATAAAGTTTTCCACAACCTTGGTATTAGGCAATCAATAATTCTGATATAACTGCTGTTACTATACTTAGCATCAGTGAC